AGATATCATAGGAAAGATAATGAACAAAAATTATAGGAAATACAAAAGATAGCAAAAATTACTTAACTCTAAATGTACAAAAATACAAAAAGGTTACAGAAATAAAAACATAAACCAAACCGCACTTGGTTAAGTCAATTAACTATCTCGCACTATTATTTAATAAAAAATTGAGACTTGTATGTTTATAGGTATTATTTATAGAAATTTATTGAATGGTTCTTTAGATTACATTAAAAAATCGGCAATCTACAGGTGAAGATACGGATGATACGTCCAGATAATGGCAGGTGATATGATACCATACCATATTACTCGCCCAGATAATTGTAGATAAAGATTACTTACAGTAGATCTTGACCAAGGCAGCTTAATTCACTGAATTTAAGATACTGTACTGGTATTCAACACTGAATTTAATTAGGTACCATTAAGGGTAAAGTAGAACTATATATAATTTAATATAGTCTAAAGAAAGAAAACTCAAATATAAAGTGTATACACACTTAGAAAATAATTCACAAAGACGATACGATAAGAAATAAAGTGAGCAAAGCGTAACAAGAGATATTGGCCTTAACTCAACAACGGCCCACCAAAAAGTCTCACGAGATATTACCTCACTCAACAACTGCCCACCAACAAGTCTCACGAGATATTACCTCACTCAACAACGGCCCACCAACAAGTGAATTGGTTCCACTAAAAATTTCACCAACTGTCCCTGAAAAAGGAAGAAGAAAATATTCCCCCATTCAAGAATGATAGGACAGTTGTATGTGTTTCTCAGAAGGTAAGGCCTTAACGACCATTGGAAAGTTTGAGGTAAAATAATCGGTATTAACAATTGGACATAAGAAACAGACAATACTTGGGATTAAGTTATTGGCAACAGATACGGGCCTTACCGTACCGGAAATCATTTGTTCTTTTCATACAGAGTATTAAGACGAAAGGATTAAAAACCTTTCTTAAATAGGAAATTCCATTTTAGCTTGGTATCTACAATATTATTCTCCTATCGTATACACGGGGATTCCTACTCATCGGCGTATCGCACGGGGGTAAAAGGAATTAAAAATAATTTGATATATTAATAATAAAAAAAATGTTACAATGTATTCTTCTCTTAACTTCTTCACTGACATTGTTATCTGCGGTAATTAGTGAACCTAGATATGTAAAACTTTTCACGCTTTCAATGTTATAGTCTCCTGTTGTCAGATTATGTAGGTTTCTTTGGCCTGTCGATTTACTGACCGTCATGTATTTGGTTTTTATTTCGTTAATGTTTAGGCCACTGTTTTGTGCCGCTCTTTCCATCGCATTAAATGCTTCTATCATCTCTCTTTCGCTTCTAGCTATGATATCAACATCATCTGCAAATGCCAATATTTGTACACTTTTTGGTATTATTGTTCCTCTGGTGTTGACTTTTGATTCCCTAATTATTTTCTCTAATGTGATGTTAAATATAATACAGGGTAGGGCATCTCCCTGTCGTAGGCCCGTTCTCACAGGGATTTTATCTGTTAGTTCGTTTTGAATTCGATTTTTGATTTGTACTTTAAGTGCTTCTTTTATTATATCAATGAGTTGGGTTGGAATATTAAACTCTTTCAGTGCATGGATCAAAAATTCTCGATACTCTCGATATGCTATCATAGGCACTCTCAAAGTCAATGAAAAGATGATGTGTGTCTATATTTAATTCACTAGTCTTTTCCAAGATTTGCCTCAAGACGAAGATCTGATCTATTGTGGAGTTCTGCCTGCGGAAATCACATTGATATCCTCCAACTAGTTGTTCCGCATATATGTGATATATTATGTTATATATAATATCATTGTTTAATAAATTGTGTGTACCTATCTTTAACAATTTGATTTAAATCATTAAAATATCAGATGTCGTATTTTAGTAATCATATTTTTAACCCAGATATTACTGAAACTTCTATTGTTAACATTTTGAATTAATTTCGAATTTTAATGGAAATTATAGCATATGGAACCAAAAAACACAATAATATATTTTTTTATGACGATACCTGTCAAGTTTTGACATGTTCTTTTAAAAGGACGGTAGTAATATACGGTACCAGATATCATATATATTTTATTAGTATCAATTTACAAAGAATGAAAGGATTTGATTTAAAACAAAATTTTGGATGTAAAGGTATTTTGCACTTTTCACACAAAAACTGGACTTTTTTGTGACAATATCCACATCGCGATTTCTTTTCTTGATAAAGAACCAAGTGGTTAATACCGTCATATCTTGAATTGGCTACCGAATTCGAATTCCGCTTAGAAAGTCCGCGTTTTGTTTCTTTTTTAAAAGTTTCCAAAATATTAGTTGCAATAGATCTTCTAAATTCAAGTTGATCCAGTTTACCGTCTTGAGTTTTGTGAATCTGCCACGCATTTTGAATAGCCATATCAACGCAATGAGCAAAAAGGGGAAAATACCATTTCTTTCCTCTTATGGACACTCGATATAAACTGATGTTCTGGTCACTGCGATCAACGCCACCCATGAAGTTATTGTATATTCTAACAATATTTGGTTGAGGAACTTTAATATGTTTTTTCTCTGCTTGTGAAAATCTCTTTACAGAGAAGCAAGGCATTACTGGTACAAAATTGGAAGCAATAGAAACGATATTATTATCTTGCCAGCGGCAAACCACTATTTCTGTATTTTTATCAAGACGATACTCGTATTTACCACGTTCAGTTTTTTTCATAATAGATGAACAGGGTAAAGGGCATTTCATGGTGCGATTTTCCCTTACAGTGCCTGTACCAAATGTGCCTCTTTGTTTTAGCTCATGCAGTAAATGAATAGAAGTAAAATAATTATCAAAAATAAGATGGAATCGCCTTTGAGGCCATACTTCATTCAATCTGTCTGCATAGGATAGAACTACTGATGCAAACAATCCAAGGACTTTATATTGTTCAGGTATTGTAGTGGAATTACCTTGGTAAGGAGAAAACTAAACTATGTATCCCAGACGAAGGGCTCCTACCCACATTTTGTACCCCCAACGGATTGGTTTTCCCCTGATGAATTGTTTTGTGGGATGGCGGCCAAAATACGGAACCATTGCCTCATCTATGCTGTGATGTTGTTCTAAAGGGGAAAATTGTATAAATTTTTTGTTTATTACGTCGAACAGGGGTCGCATCTTGGCAAATCTATCAAATTTATCTAATGACAAGTTATTGCAAACATGCAAAACTTTCTTATGTGGGAAAATCTATCCTTAGATATAGCAGCTACCACCATTGCGTTGTGCGAATCGTCACGATTTTCCCAGTACATGTACCTTTTCAACCACATAACCACTCAATACCACTCATAACCACTCAATACAAGAACGCCTATAAAACATCGAATCTCATTTTGAATAATGTCGTTCAAAAGATTTCTTTGTCCTGCGTAGATGCTAGTGTATTTGGTAACCAAATTGATGACTTCATCATCAAAAAACAAATTGAAAATTTCCATCGGCGACTGAGTCATTTTCGGTCCAAATTGATTTTTCCAGTAAGTGTAATCAGGGTGTTGATACAAGTCTCCTTGAATCCAGTGTGCAGATATTCTCTTCTCTAATTGATGGGGCAGCTTTTCCTTGGAAAGAAACAAAGCCAATGGTATATTGTCATCATCCGAATCTTCTTCTGGTAGGCTGGAATTCACAGAATCTTGTGGTAATTCAGTCGCGTTGTCAAAAACAAGTTCTACATCGTTTCTCATCTGACTACCCGGTAAATTATTTATTGTAGTTAGTTCTTCATCGCCGGAGTCGCAATCGGTGACATCATCATTGGAATTTTCTGGGGGAAATATGATCAAACCATCTGGAGGGACTGGGATTTCATCAGAATCAAGCTCTTCTAATAGCTCATGCAATTTGAGAGGCCTCCTGAAACAATACGCACGTTGGTAGTACTAATTACTACCGTCCTTTTAAAAGAACAAAATGAAATCCCAAGCGGCGAGCCTTTGAAACAACGTGACAACAATTCGAGCCAAGAATATAAGTACATAAGTCCCTATTATACAATAATCCACATGCTAATGCCGTGAAATAACAGTTTTTTAATTCTAGACTTACCTCCAATTATAAGCATCCATTTTGTAGTCCAAAACCTGGCAATTTACACAGATAACCTCACAATTACAGCATGTGCGCGCATTAAAATCGTTCAAACTTGTCGAATGCTGGCTCTTGAAAACACTCCATCTAGAGCCATCTATCAGTTGGTAGCTGTACTAACCTAAATTACGCATAATTTACACTGCCTTTTAAAAGAACGGTAGTAATATCTGGGTTAATATCATATTTTAGTATCGTATTTAGATAGTCAGATAAAGTATTTTTTGAAACGCCACTGCTTTGTTTGACGAGGCTATTCTGTTCCTAGAAATTTCCGCCACTACAGTTGAAACATACTCTAGCCAGGGAGGCAAAATGGAAGAATATTATTAAGCAGGCAAAAATCCATATAATTTGTAGCGCTATGAGAATAAGAAGAAGAACCAAATCGATCATTGTACTAACGAATTTTGCGAAATCCAATAAAACCAAAAATATTCGTATGCATAATTTTTTTAAGTCAATTATTAGTTATTTAATATTTTTGTTTTAATTTCATTTAAGCCGCGTATTATATGAATAGAACAATATTTAATATATCTAAATGTATCAAAAAAAAAGTGCTCTCGTACTTTGATTCGTCGAAAATTGATAACATATTTCGATAAATCCAATAAAATATAAAAACCCACGCCGCAAAAAAGAACTAACGTCTTGCACTATTAATAAAACATTAAATTAAATGGGCATTGCCCCTTCCATTTGTTGTTATCATGAATCTACACCATTGTACGATACTGAAGATGTGCAAAAGTCCTTGATCATAGTACGGCAGTACCTACGACTCGCTAGGTCGTATATGTACTTAAACTAACGTTAGGCTGCAATGTCAACATTCAGGTGCCACCACATTGCAATACGCTGCATCCTTTATGAAGAAAAAGTCAGCAACATTTTTTTGAGTGACTTGGTTCATAAAACCCTTTAATAAAATAAATTATTTATTTTGGCGAGTTTTTTCGTTTTAATATATTTTTCTGTGATAATTCGGGATGGAGCTTCAACAATTCGCGTCGAATAATTTAAGAATTAGTGATAGAATTCTAGATGTAGAATTCCAGGATATTTCGTTCGTTGCCAAGGAGAAAAATGGTAAGTTTTTTACTATAACTAGTCGATATTTCAAGTAATTTTTAGTCAACTTAATAAAGTTTTTTAAATTGTTTTACTATTTAATTTTTTTATAGTTTTTGTAATTTTTTAAATAACTCAACAGCTTGTTTACTAACAAAGTCATCCTCGAAAGCATTCTCTTGTCTCGTTTGTCACTTCTACTTTTTGATAAAAAAAATCTTCAAAAAGGATTTAGTCTACCTGTTTTTAATATCAAACATGTTTGTTGTACCTGCTTTAAAGCCAAATTAAACAAAATTATTTGGTTGAGTTATGGTATACCTAGTAAAATGTTTACGATTTTTGCAAATTATTAATGAATCGTTCTATTGTATTCTTTATTTTTTTTATTGATTTTGGTTTAACCACTCAGGGTTATTAGCATAACAAAATACAAAAGTGATAAAGATATACATAGGCATATACAAAATATCAAATACATAATAAGTTATCCAATATATATATATATATATATATATATATATATATATATATATATATATTATATATATATATATATATATTCATAAAGTATTCAACTAGTGAATTCAGAGGTTTATTCGGTCAGTCAGGTTGGCAAAATAAAACACAGAAGTCAACTACTTCATAAGTTTATCGAAGACGTTTCGCTCTATATTTCTAAAGCTTCATCAGTTCTCTAAAATACAAGGATGACATAGAGTTTATAAGAAATACAGATCTAATAATTTATTACTTACAACTCAATATGTAGTATTAAAGATGTTATCGTATATGTACTTAGGTTTACTCATAAATTTAGAACTAACTTAAAAAAAAATTAAACAGAAATATGCAAAAAATAACATTCGCAGAAACGAAGATTTACAAAAACTTTAAACGTACATTTGGCTTCATTTAGAGATGGTTCTCCAATGAAGACAAACAAAACACTGATTTATTGCAATCTACGCAAAACGACGTGGCGCGATACCGAAAATGTTTTCCAAGGGCCATATGTTCAACAAATTCCAAGGTTTGAGACAATTATGAACTTCTACGGGGGTCATTGAAAGAATAGTTGGACGGGTGGATTTGTAACGGAAAAATTTGATATGATTTTTTTGTAATTTATGTTTTAACGAAACTTAGAGCTTTTAGATGATTATGTTATTGTTTTGAATGGAAAATCCGGCTATTTTAATTATGAATATTGGTATTATTTATTTCGTAAGATGAGAGAGTGGTAAACCTGGCTCAAATTGTCAATGTCGGTTCTTTTGTTTATTGCAGATGGGTTTTTTAGGATCTCACACATTTCAATAAAGGAGCGTTTTTGATGGTTATTTTGTTTGGCCAGTATTTTAGTATTTGAGAAGTCAATGTGATGTTTGGTGGAAATGGCGTGTTGTGCAAGGGCACAAGAGGGTTTGGAAAGTCTAATGTCGCTTTTATGTGAAGTTATACGCCCTAGAAGTGAACGACTGGTTTGGCCAGTCGTTCACTTCTAGGGCGTATAACTTCACATAAAAGCGACATTAGACTTTCCAAACCCTCTTGTGCCCTTGCACAACACGCCATTTCCACCAAACATCACATTGACTTCTCAAATACTAAAATACTGGCCAAACAAAATAACCATCAAAAACGCTCCTTTATTGAAATGTGTGAGATCCTAAAAAACCCATCTGCAATAAACAAAAGAACCGACATTGACAATTTGAGCCAGGTTTACCACTCTCTCATCTTACGAAATAAATAATACCAATATTCATAATTAAAATAGCCGGATTTTCCATTCAAAACAATAACATAATCATCTAAAAGCTCTAAGTTTCGTTAAAACATAAATTACAAAAAAATCATATCAAATTTTTCCGTTACAAATCCACCCGTCCAACTATTCTTTCAATGACCCCCGTAGAAGTTCATAATTGTCTCAAACCTTGGAAGTTGTTGAACATATGGCCCTTGGAAAACATTTTCGGTATCGCGCCACGTCGTTTTGCGTAGATTGCAATAAATCAGTGTTTTGTTTGTCTTCATTGGAGAACCATCTCTAAATGAAGCCAAATGTACGTTTAAAGTTTTTGTAAATCTTCGTTTCTGCGAATGTTATTTTTTGCATATTTCTGTTTAATTTTTTTTTAAGTTAGTTCTAAATTTATGAGTAAACCTAAGTACATATACGATAACATCTTTAATACTACATATTGAGTTGTAAGTAATAAATTATTAGATCTGTATTTCTTATAAACTCTATGTCATCCTTGTATTTTAGAGAACTGATGAAGCTTTAGAAATATAGAGCGAAACGTCTTCGATAAACTTATGAAGTAGTTGACTTCTGTGTTTTATTTTGCCAACCTGACTGACCGAATAAACCTCTGAATTCACTAGTTGAATACTTTATGAATATAAATTGACGGTCGTAGTTTTTACAATATATATATATATATATATATATATATATATATATATATATATATATATATATATATATATATATATTAATTATTAATGTATTGTGTTAAATTTTATTAAAAAAGTTTATAGATTTTAAGAATTCTATAGCTATGTATTAAGATTCTCCTAGAAGTTATTTTAATGTTTTTGGAATGTGGTAATATAGTCTTTCAACTGAGTATATTGGACAGTCAATCAAAATGTGCTTCACTGTCACTTTAAATTCACAAACAAAACACACTGGTTCCTCTTCTCTCTTCAACAAGTATTCATGTGTTGTAGAAGTGTGTCCTAATCTGAGATGTAGTTATTAGGACTTGATGTTGTCGCTTTGAACGCCGGAAGTTCCATGAAAGGACGGAAGAATTTCTTCTTCTTCCTTTTGGTATGTAGGCTTTAAAGCCTGTTTCTTCTTCAATATTAGCCTCCTAAATTGTCGCACCATCTTTTTCTTGGTCTGCCAATACTTCTGCGTCCATTTGGTGACTTATCTCGTGCTATTCGTACTATTCTATCCTCTGCCACTCTACTGATATGTTCGTTCCACTCCTGTTTTCATTTTGTCACCCATCCATTTAAGTCTTCTATATTGCATGCTCTTCTTATGTTTTTGCTTTTCTCCCTATCCAATAGACTTTTCCCTGATATTCGTCGGAGTATTTTCATCTCTGTTGTTTCTAGCAGTCGTCTCATTTTAGATGTGTCAGTTCTTGTCTTCGCCGTGTATGTTAATATAGGTCTAATTGCTGCTTTATAGATTCTTGTTTTTGTGTCTTGTCTTAGGTGTTTGTTCTTCCAGATTGTGTCATTAAGAGAACCCGCCGCTTTACTTGCTTATAAGCTTTGTTATAGTACTTCTGCTTCAACATCTCCGTAACTAGTTATATCTATTCCCAAATATCTAAACCTTGCTTCCTGCTTTATTATTTTCCCATCAATTTCGATTTTACACCGTAGTGGGTGTTTAGATGTTGTTATACATTTGGTTTTATCTGCTGATATTATCATACTGTATTTCTTAGCTGTTGTATTGAAGATATATGTTAATCTTTGGAGCTCGTCTTCTGTCTCGGCGATTAATGCGGCGTCGTCTGCGTAACATAATATTTAAATTTCTTTGTTCCCCATTCTGTATCCATGACCTTTACGTACTGCTTGTATTATTATAATATTATTATATTATTATATTAAAGAGAAGTGGGCTCAACGAGTCACCCTGTCTGACTCCAGTTTGTACTGGTACACACTGTGTTAGTTTTCCATTTATCTTTGCCTGTATTCGATTCTGGAGGTAGATGTTTTCGATGGTTTGTATAATATTGATTAGTATGTTTCTTTTATACAGTAGGTGTAAGACGTCTTCGACTTGGATGCGGTCGAAAGCCTTTGCCAGGTCTATAAAACATAGATATGCTGGTTTATTGTACTCGATGGCCTTTTCTGTGATTTTTCTTAGTACAAATACGGCGGATCTGAATCTTTGTTGTTTATCTGATAAAGTTGTTAGTTTATTGATTTTATTGGTTAGGACTTTTGTGGTAAGCTTAAGTGCGGTGTTCAGGTCATTTATACATCCATAATTGTTGGGGTCTTCTTTACCTCCTTTCTTGAACATTGGTATCATTATGCTGTTTCTCCATGCGTCTGGTATCTTGCAGTGCAATATTAGTTTTTTCATCTCTAGGAATATACTTTCTTCTCCGTATTTTAGAAGCTCGTTGGTTATTCCGTCTGGTTCTGGCGACTTTCTATTTTTAAGCGAATTTATGGCTATTTCTACTTCCTGAAAACTGATTTCTATTTCTTGTCTTAATTCAGGTACGTTATTGTGTTTATTATTATTTTCCTTTGCTTTAAACAATTCCGTCAGGTATCTTTCTCATTTGTTTGCTGGAATGTTATTGTATTCCTTCAATTCCGCTATTTCTTTCCGTTGGTTTCTTATAAATCTCAATATTTGTTTTTGTGTACCATGGAAGTAGCTTTCCATCCTTTTTGTAAACTGTTCCCAGTGTTCATTTTTTGTTCTTCTTACCAACTGCTTTGTTTCATGCCGTATTTTTCTATAGTTGTCTCTAGATTCTGGGGTATTTGGTGTTTTGTACTTCATGAAGGCCTCTCGTTTCTCTTTACATTTCTCTTTTATTTCTTTTCTGAACCATGGTGCATTGTTGTTGTTTCCTTTGTTCAGTATGACTTTGCGTTTTCCTAGAGCTTCTGTTGCTGCTTCTTCAATGTTGTTTTTAATTTTCTCCCAGCTCTCGTTTATATCTTTGATACATTTCTCTTGTAGAGTCGAGAGTTCCTGTAGAAAATTTTGTTTTGGTGTTATTTTCATTCTTATCTTTGCTAGAACTAGTTTGTGTTCACTCCCTGCGTCTGCTGAGTTTAAAGTTCGGATATCTAGAATTTGCTTTGGTTGGATTTTTTTATTAGTGACTATAAAATCAATCATAGATTTATGCCCCCTGGAGTTTTAAAATGTATATTTATACTGGAGCTTATGGTCGAAAAATGTATTATTGATTCTGAGTTCGTTAAAAGCACAGATAATA